GATTATAAAAATTGTCAAATAATATAACATTAATTAGGATTGACTCTAAAATTGTTTACCTGTACAAAACATCAATAAATAATGTCTGGACACATCTGCTGTATATTATTAATTTTAAAATAAGTTAAATATTAAACATGATTTAGATATAAAAAAATATGCAAGTCACCCTACTTGTTTTCACTGAAACTTTTATTTCAATAATTAAATAAAATGACATTTTCTTTAAGGAATTGGATTCAGATTGTGGTCCAAATGAATCGCTTTACTCGGAGTCACTGTAATTGTTTTGACAGTATTTCCAAATTTGAGTTTTACATCACTCGCGACTATACTAGTAATCAACATATTATTCAGCGTATGATTAGCCCAATAAATATCCAATTGATGTCCGCCTCTGGCGCGCAGTCCGGCCGTCCACTCCCGGGGCAGAGCCGACAACAGTTCGACGACTTGTTCGTGACTCTGGACCAGCATTTCGGCGACGGCTGCGGTTATACCGAAGTTGCCGTCGATTTGAATTTGAGGGCAATTTTTAATGATTTACAAAGTAATTTTATAACTTTTGAAATGAATTGTACAGAAATGTATAAAATTAAATGTTAACCAAAATAAACATTTACAAGTGTAACTAAAAATTGAAATTTTAGAAATAAATTTTTTTCAAACTCGATAACCTATGTCTAAATTAATAATTTTTAGTATTACCATAAAAATATATTAAGTTTTTAATGAAAAATAATGAAAAAATTATTATTTAAACTGTAAGGATTAATGAGTTAGACTGGTTTACTTGACACACAACATGTTTACTTAAATGATTATGAAAAATTTAAATTTAAATTATTTTGATATTAATAATAAATATTTGATAATTATTGAATAGTAAACTTGCCGTATTTTGATATCTATACTTATAAAATTTTTAAACAAGTTTAGCCATATACAAAAAAGGTAAATACAGATATTATATATAAATTTCCCGGATATATTGCTTTATAGGATGACATTTGCCATAATAAAATCATAATAATTATGCTTATTTAAATTACTACTTTTGGAAATTTTTGTTATAGTATTTATGTATCGTATTGCTATACCATATAAATACTGTACAACTGCAATATAATTGTTATTTTGTGTAATTATTCAACAATTTACATTAAATATTGCTGTAATTCCCTATACAGAAAACATTACCTCATTTTAAAATATATTTTGGACACTTGAAAATACGTCTAGCCGCCTATAGGGTCGGTACCTAATTAATCATAATTTATTTGACTTTTTATTTATAAAAGTTTACTTTATTTAATTAACTTGATACATTCAATACAGCAGTATTCACACTATTGGCAAAAGTAATACAATAATCATTAATACAGTTGTACATATAGTTTTGCAAATGTAGTGCACATCGTGTATTCATTAGAAATCATTGCGCAATCTTTATGCAATTTTACTTATAATTTCTTACTCACAAACATATTAGTAATCAGTTGGCACTCGATTCAATAGAAATTATTATTTTTAAATAATAACACAAATAATTATAGTCATGCTTACATAACCGGCTTACATAACATAAAACTCTATACAGTATGTATGGTATGTTTAAGCTTGATTAGGTAATGAGGGCATGCGATTTTATTTTAAAGTTATTTTTGAAAAATATCTAAATTATAAAATTATTTTAAATGAAAATACGTGTTTTAATTGTGAGTTTGTTGTAAACTGTTTGTGACAATAACTCCAATGGCATACATATGTCTCATTTAAATGAACTATACTTTTGTGTTGACAAATAGTGGTTTGTTTTAAACTGCTTTTTACATTCACTCCAATCGCATACATATCTCATATTTAAATAAACAGTATTTTATATATTATAAGTTATAATAGTCACAATTTTATTGTTAAAATTCATTTAAACGGACCAAAATATCATATTTAGCCTGGTACATATTAGTTTACAAAACATTGATAATAAAAAAGGATTAAAATATATAATAAAGATATTTGATATAGTGAAATAACAAAGGTAAAATATCTTATTATACTATTAATATTATAAAACTATTAGCATTTAAAATACTACTATTAAAAATTGTTTTATTGAACAGTATTAATTATAATTATAATTTTATATAAACATATCATTATAAAATAATTATTATTAATGATTATATCAATTGATAAATTGTTAAAATATTTATATAAAATTATATTTAGTGACTTTATAATTTATAGACAGTAAAATAATAAGCAAGCATATATCAAAGGGACGTTATGTTTGAAGGCTCTGATTTTACACTCATTTAATATACTTTAAAAATGCAATGAATGTCACAAAACCCAAAACAAACATGAGATTAGGTTTTGACAAATTGCTTGAATTATACCCATGGTCCATGCACCAAGATCGTGTGTAAATAGTTGGTACCGTTTGCTCTATAACGTTTAACTTCAATGGTAAAGTATCAAATTGTTGATCCAAGTCATCCTGATCCGATTGACTACAAATTCTCTATGTATATTAAATATAAAATATTTATTTATTTTTACATGTAAAAATTTACTTGTTACTTTGTGCTATTAACAATTATAATAAATTATATGTATTTTATATTTAATAATAGGTATTTGTTAAATATTAAAAACATATCTTACATATTCTCGCTTGATACAATCAAGCATGCCATAAAGGGCATCACACATTCCTGAATGGGTATTTGTTTTAATACTTTTGACTTCGCAAGGTAGTTTAGCCAAACATGAATCCGCACTTTTTGCATTCATTGAATTGATGAGTTGGTCCTTCAGTTGATTACCCTGTTCAAACTGGTTAGTTGATCCAGATAGAACCGCGCACGCGGCAGACAATATAATGATGATTTTATGCACACAGGTCATTTTTAGATAAATTAAGAAAATTTTAAAATTTAAATTATTTTAATTTACTACTCAATTTTTAAGAGAAAGATATTTATAATAATAGTTAATATTCAGCTTTTATAGTCAATATTTAAAAACAAGTTTGGTCATATTATATGACTCATATACAAAAATGAATAGATTGATTTCCCGGATATATTTATAATATATGAGACAACATTCATAAAAAGTGGGTTTGATTTTATGAACACAGGCTGTAAAATAGTCTCTTTAAGAGATACAGACAAACATCACTCGTTAATACAGCGATAATTTAAACAGAAATAAAATTATATTATAATTAAGATCTCCAGAAAAAGTGGAAATAAAAGTGGGTATTATAAAGACGACCACTTTTATCCCTGTGATTAATACAAAACTTATTCACAATTTTAATCAATTTTAAATTCTCAAAGATATTAGTACTTTATAATAATTTTATATGATTATTTGTTTATATAAATACTTATTTGATAAAATTTTATGACTATTCATTATAATTTTATTGGAATTCGTTGATGACTCAAAATTCAGTATATTTTATTATTCATAATATATTATTTTGATCGATAAATACAAGTTTGTGTGTTTTATCAGTTGAATATTCATATATAATTTTTATAAAGGGTTAATATTTTTAAAAATCAATGGAGATTAAAGTAGTGAATAAGTTTTGTATTAATCACAGGGATACAAGTGACCGACTTTATAATACCCACTTTTATTTCCACTTTTCTGGAGGTCCTAATTATAATCTATTATATTTTACTAAATTTAAAATGAAAATAATTTTTATAAATTAGAATAATTATATTTCTGTTTCTACTTAATTTCTGTTTTAATTATCTTTATATTAACTGACGGTGTTTGCCTGTACCTCGAGTACAGACTATTTTACACCATGTGTTCATAAAATCAAATCACCTTATTATGAATATCGTTCTCATATTGTTGTTTATATACAGAATGCTATAAATATGTTTAAATGCAAAAAATCTTTGTAAAATTATGTAAAAATCATTTTATTTGTAATTATTATTATTAATATTTGTAATTTATTGTAATCATTATATTAAATTGCATTTAATCAACAAGTATGCTTATAATAAACATTTGGTTGATTTGAATAATCACTCTCTAGAGTAAAATCATTAAAATAATTATGCACAAAAAATTATTATTTTTAATATTTTTGTCATTTATGTTTTTTACAGTACAAAACCTTATACAAATATAATAATTATTTTGTGTAATTATTCAACAAATTACATTAAATATTGTTACAGATATTATTATATAAGTACATAATTCCTTATACAGAAAACAAAAACTTTTTAAAATTGTTGTACAATGTTTAGATTATGTAATATTTTATTGTTAAAACTTTAATAATTTGAATTCATAAACTAGTAAAAGGTGCATTAAATTTCACATTTAACCAGCATACATAACAGTTTACTATTATTGACAATACAATGCAATTCACTATATTTACTGTAATACTAGCTTTAGGCCAGTGTTTGACACAAGACATCCCATGGGAACCTAATGCTAGAAGTGACCAGGGTAGGGTTGATAGACATAACTGGCTAATCGCACAGACTTCCAGCATAGAGCTGATGTACAGATCGTATTTGTGGGCGACTCCATAACCGAGTTCTGGGAGAGTGTTGGACGGATGACATGGGACAGGTCCTACGCGCCCAGACATGCCTACAATTACGGCATATCAGGGGACAGGACTGAGAACGTGATCTATAGAATAAGAGAAAAGGAGTTTGATGGTCTCCACCCTAAAGTGGCTGTCCTTATGATTGGTTAGTATTTATAAATGTATATAAAAATAATTAAATGAACAATCAATAAATAAATCTGAATTATAATTAAACAGTAAACGCAGTGTTTACTCATATAAATCTATAAAACTTTTGTGTACACAATTTATATAATGTGACTAGGTTTAAAAAAAGTACTATAAGTTTAAATGAATAAATAGTGTTTTTAATGTTTCGGTTGAAATTCATTTTTATTTATCTAATTATTATAATTGTAGTTTATTTTTAAATACAAATATTGTTTTAATTGTATTATTATTAACGAGTTGTGAAACCAAAGGCACGAATAATATCGGTTGGAATAACAGCGTCGAGGATACCGTTCGCGGAGTAAAACAAGTGTTGACTGAATTGACTGCCAAACTGCCCGACACTAAAGTCATACTCACCTCACACCTGCCGCGAACTGAACCCTATGGCTCTAAATGCAAACAAGTGACTGAACTCATCCAGCAGTTTGCCGACAATAAGACGGTTTTCTATGAGGACTTGTGGACTCCGTATGTGTTTCCAAACGGCACGCAAAAGTTGGAGCTCTTTGTCGATGGACTACACCTCAGTCCGAAAGGCTATGAGGTGTGGCAACAGACTATGGAACCATTGCTTAACAAATTAAGTCCAACCCTGTAATGACATGTTTATTATTATTATAAATATTTAAAACTATTAATTCGTAATAACGTTAAATAAAATATAATAACGTTTAAAAATATTTTATTACAACTGTGGTGAAATCGTTTATTTTATTTCAGCGATTTAAATGACACATTAATATAGTTTATTTCCATTTGTAACAATCATTCAATGGTATATTTAAATCAAATAATTAATTATAAGACACATTCTGGCGAATGGTACGGGAATTGAGTGCAATTAACCCGTTGTTTGTCAGCAATGAGTTCACCGTAAAATTTGTCCAAAGCTAACGACTCATTTTTGAGGCATAGGTGCTGGGTAATTTGAAACGACATATTGTTAATAATATAATAGTTAAAAATAATACACATGCTATAAATGGTCTTGGGTCATTTGACCTACAAATATTCAAAATACTATACTTACCGAAAAGGCATACACCCCAAAAGGCCTAAACCCTAAATGGCCTAAAACATTAAAAAGTCTATATTTGAATAACTAACTGACCAATGGTCAATTGACTTAATTATAAACACGTCTATTCTACTAATCAAATAAAAAATATGTCCACTGGTCAGTTAATTATTTGAGTTTAGGTCTTTTTGGTTTTATGCTTTTTGGGGGGTAGAACCGATATAAATACCTGTGCAAAGTCCTCGATACAATCGTAGATCTCCCAGTAGTAACAACAGGCGCCTTTTGATTTGGGGTCAGCTGGAGGGTGCCAATCATCGGAGGCCTTGAAAGCGCAGTACACGGTCTCGTGCGACACTTTCTCGAGACAACTGTCCACCAGAGGGTCGGGAACGGGATCCGGTCGGTAGGGTAGGTGCCCGTAGAATAGGGCCGACGCACTCAAACAACTCACGACAAACAGACCGCAGAGGAGTATAATTGAATTCATGGCTTGATTTAGAGGTTTAGTTATAATAAATTTTATTTTATACACAAAGTAGTGATATATTTGTGTGAGTGTTACGAGTGTTTGTTGTTTTGTAGGACTACTCGGCTCTACTTATATATGATTTTAGAAATATAATTGTTTCATATAAAACAATGTGGTTGCTGAAATAAATTCTCATGATTGTGGTGAAAGCAATTGTTTGCTCAGATAATATTCGATAAAACTTATACAAAATGATCGTTTTTAGTATTAAATTAAGAATTTAAAATCTGATAACATATAAGTTGTAGGTACTTTGGGTTCTGTGATATTATTTCTAGTATATAAACTGGATAGGTTCCTGGAAGATTCCTTAAATCACTTAATATAAGAATTACTTAAATGAACGATAAAAAATTTGAAATTATCTATTTAAGATAAATATAATTTTCTGATTAAATGAGTATTTTAATACATTTATTGTGATTAAAAAATTGTTTGTTAAAATATAAACATTACAAGAAAATTAGCATTAATTTTTATATTTGCATACGCGGTTCTAGTTAAGATTAATATAAAATAATTTTTAAAATAATTTATCTTATCATATAAATAATTAATTTGCTATTTGACAACTATTATTTGTAAACTAAAATAAATAATATTTGTTTTTGAAAATTTGTCAATACAACAGTAATACATAAAAATAAAAATTGATCGTCTACGTGCATAAAAGAGTTATCTTTTTTTAATGAAAACTGTAAACTTAACCTAATCAATAGATTGATATTATCAAAAATTGTTATTTCTTTTATAAATAATTAAAACTACATAGTTTTAATTAAAAATTATAATCTATTTAATTTATTCACATTACTTTTAACTTATTCATAAATATTTTTACTAATAATTAACAATTATATTTAATATTTTATTTAATAAATATTTAATATTTTCATTGAAAAAAAGATAACTCTTTTAAGCACCCAACGGATCAATTGTAACATATTGTATACAAATATAGTTAATTGTATATTGACATCATACAATATGTAATAAAGTCTTAATCGGAATGTCTCTTTTTAAAAGTTAATAAATATATTTTAATTAGTATCAATATATTCTATAATTATACCTTAAAAAGAATATCGCAAAATAAAATTCCACTACAATCAGAATATTCTGTAAAATC